ATATATATATATATATATATATAAATTGTAGTTTATTCCGTGGAAGGAATTTTTCCTCCAAGATCGAAGGCACGATCTTGCAGAATCGGATTCTGCATTGACTGTCCTTAATTCGTCTATTTTGGACGAAGAATTTTGCACGTTCGAAGGAACGAGAGCTAAGCATTATAGGTCGAACTGCGTTTATTTTGTAACTCGATATTGTTAAGTGTAATGTAGTGTAATTCGTTACGACAACCAGGCAATCGAATACTCACACTTTGGATCGGCTGCGCCAACGTTGCTCGCGATTAACTAAATATCTTTTATCTCCACGTTATCGTTATCATTATCGGAATCGGGGGAAACGAAAGAATTGCTTGAATTCAGTAAGCAATCGCGGTGTAATCAATTCTTAAGCTGCCATTCTTATATTTAAATCAAACGAAATCTTTGTCAAATTTTCTGTAGAATTTAAGTTGAATAAATAAAATTTATTAATTTGCCTCCGTTTAATTTAAACGATTGATTAATTATAGCTTGATGTGCTATTTTATTTTTGATTATAATTCAGTTAAGCAATTCATCGCGATGTAATCAATCCTTATGATGCATTTTATATTTAAATCGAACGTTTAATCTTGCTCGTAAAATTTAAGTCAAATAAATCAAATTTATTAATTTGCCTCCGTTTAATTTAAACAATCAATTAATTACAATTTGATTTTCTCAAAACAAGCAAATTCCCGCGTTCTCATTTTAATTAATATGATGTTTAATTAATATACATATGTATTATCAGCTACATTATCTGGGTGGTGCAATTTGGTAGAATTCGTGGAATGATTAGGGAAGTCACCCTGAAACAGTTATCTAACATCGTTGGTGCAACAGAGCCGAAATTACTTTATGTAAAAGAAAGAGAGAGTGAAGCAACACGATGAACAAATATAGGAATTTGTTCTCCGCTAAATCCGCAGTCGGATCAGACGTCTCTCTTTCTCCCTTTTGTTTATTTCTCCTTGGCAAAATTAATAAAACCGTCGTGACAAGACGACGTCTCTCCTGCCGTGTCCCGCAGCTCGAGCGCGACTCGAGCAACGAACGACACGGCCCCGCGTGCGCGTCCGGGGGATTCTATTTATTTCTCTCTTCCTCTTTCTGATAGCTTTAACACGACCAACACTGTAATATAAAGCGCTTCTGTATTCATACACGCATGGTAACGCAAGCAATAAAGTAAGACTATAACATACATTTATCGATGGGCTGCCTTTATTTCTTTCCTGGAAGCGGTGGAGACTAAACGCACGAAATCTGCGATATCCCATAAAAACGTCATATATATGAAATATATACATATGTATCAGATGTCCAGATTTAAATCGGGATTTACATCGTAGTCAATTTTTCTTGAACAAGAATACAAGGACGCGAGAAAGAATTAAGCCATTATTTCTTTGATGAATTTTTAATTCAGTTATCTTTGACTTAAGTAATGACGTTCTATTATTTATTTTTCAAAATTTTATCTGAAGTTTAATTTTCACGAAAAACCTTCTATTTTAAATAGTTTCTAATTACGAAACTATTTAAAATAGAAGGAATCTATTTACATCTATCTATATATTATAATTGTATATAATTTTGAATATTTTGAAACTTTAATCTTCACAGAAAAGGCCTTCTACCGTAAAATAATTTGCTAGAAAATTATTTACGCCTCTTATCTTTTAAGCAACGCGCTAACGATGTTCTATTCATTTGTGAATACTTTTAAGTTTTAGCTTACATGGAAAACTTGTCATTTTAAATAGCTCGTAGTCAGAAAAGTATATCAATTAATTTTATCACATACAATTTCGACGTTATTACTGGAGAGTATTGCCCGCAATGTTGTTAGCAAGATCCTTGACGGGGCGATAGAAATCGCGAGAGTTTACACGTGTCGTCACGTGCGCGGCACAAAGCCTGGATTCTGTACCGCCGGGGAAGTCGGAGACTGGTGATGACAGAAAGAAAACAGAATAAGACGTGTACGATAAAAATTCTCCATTTCTATTCCTTATATACATAATATTCATGTATTTAGATTGTACCCATTACACCGTAGTAACATCAACAATATTTTTTTTTATTCCATCCTTATCGATTTAAATATATCTTTATTCGTATGTATAAATAAATTGTGGGAGGGTGAGGAGGGAGGGGGGGAGGAGGGAGGGAGGAAGCGGAGTCGAGGGGGAAGAGGGAGGGAATGAGGTGGGTGTGGGTGGCTTGTTGTGGGTGTCTAAACGCCTGTCTCACACTCAAGGCTGTGCTCGTCGTACTCTCGCTTGCCCTAAGATATATACCTTTACGTCTATCTTCTAGCTTTAAGACTATTTTCTTTGTAAACGTGATCACAGTGTAAAGGCGTCGCTATATACGCTAAAGCGGTAAGCACATATGGTGAACACGGGTTAACACACGCATCTGTGTCCTTTATATCTGTATTTTTAAATCACACCTTTCGCTCGCCTCTTCTCTTCGAGCCAAAAGCTCTTCCGTTCCTCTCCTCGCACAAATACACGCAACTTTCTTTTACCCTCGATGAATTGTTCCCGATCAGGCACTTTTTTTGTTCACGATTCCGCCCCGAGGAGCCGCACGAGAGTACGACAAGCGCGCGCATCTCTTTATTTCTTTTTTTTCTTTTGTAAAGGTATCTAAAAAGATTTGTACGTCAATGATTTAATAATAAGGATTCGAAAGTGCGAATGACGAACGTGTCCCTAATAATGAACATACGTGCCCCTGCGTACAAAATAGTGGTAGTTTCGCGACAGCTCTTAAATACGTTATATCGATCGAAGATAGTAATAATTCGTGTACGTTGCATTCGTTTACGCGCCCGAGATCTGTCCGATGGATCTCTCGCGACGCTCATTGTTACTTTTTTCTTCTTCTCTCCCCTTCGTTTTCTTTTTTTTCTTCTTTTTACACGTGAAAATTCGCCCGTTGTAAGTCATATTACGCGGCATATCGGCTCTTGTTAGAAAAGCACCGTTAACGCTAAGACATTCGCTTATTTAATCGCACAGTCCCGTGGTCTGCGGTCCTCTTGGAATGCAAAGCAATAATAAATTACTTAAGACTCTAATAAATAATTATATAATCGTATTAAATACTACGCGATATACAGAATAATTATTTAAATAACTACAACCATTTACAGCAGTGTCCGCGTGTACGTGTATCTCTTCGTCTCATTGCGGCGAGACGGCACATATTTATATATATATATATATATATATTTATATAATAATATCTGTGTATACATATATCTGTGTGTGTGTATCTGTCTGTTTGTTATATGTCGTGACTCTACGTGTATACATATATATATATGCTATCTCAATTTTTTCCCTTCTCTTGCTTTCTCTCTCCCCTAATACTTTTTTTCTGTACAAATATTTATATATAAAATATTTATCGGATCAAAGGCGAGAAAGGCGGAGAGAGGCGACCCCCCCCCCCTCGGCCAAAGCAAACGGACATCGAGATACCTGCCCGGTATGTACGAGTCCCCCTCGGCTAAGAAGTCACACCTCTCGAACTTGTCCCCCCCCTGTCGTATTAATAACGCACGCCCGGCTAGCTTTTGTGTTCTTCCTGTACATCCTCGCTCCGCGGTTTCGCACCGGTTTCTGCTTGCGACGCAACGTTTCCTGTCTAAAGGAGAAAGAAGAATAGATGGGACTCATAGCAATAACCCTTGCCGCAGTGCATTAGACGTCGCAGCCAACAAATCCAAAGGTATCCACGTGTATCGCGGCACGTGTGTCGCGCCCGATGTGCTTTCGACGAACGCGACGCTTTCGAATTTGTACGCTGTCTCAATGGAGCCTACTCTCGAGTGTGGAAATTCAAATCGCGGAGTCGCTGAAGGGATAAGCTCCTCGACAATTCATGGTGTCGCTCTTCTCCTCTACTATATAAATTCTACGCGCATAGATCTTAGACGTTCAAGCCTACACTCAATTTTTCTTTGTATTTAGAGGACCTGGCCTTAAAATAATAATAAATGCGTTTCTTTTTTTTTCTCTCACTTTCCCTCTCTCCATCTGTAAAATAGATTTCTGATAGATTATATTCGCGCCGTCGCGTTTGCCTCAAGCATCCAAACCGCACAGCGTCAACTAAATAGTCTGTCTCTATTTACTTGAAATTTTAATGTCGCACTTTTTTGCGATAAAAGCACGACATAGCTATATATATATATATAATTTTTTATTCGCGATTATCGACAGGACGATTCGCGACGTGCCCCGTCGCGTTTCCACACGCCGGGGCATTACTTCTTATTTTACTAATTTAAGACTAATGATAGAGCTCGGAATATCTCGATAAAGCCCTATGGACGGATAGTTCGTACAATATAACAGCATGATGGACGAGTGTGTGTTGGCAATTTCTTTTTTTCTCTCTCGCGATTTTCCCTCCCTTTTTCTCTCTTTTTAAAGAAAAGGCACAATTTGTCGCGCTTTGTACATTATTTTCTGAGAGAGCAGACATACTCTCCCCCTCTCTCTCTCGAATTCTTTAAGAATAATTTACAATTCAATTTACAGTTGACTCGTCGTCATGCTCCGGCGAGCGCGTTCTTGCGGTATTTCGAAAGTACTTTTTAACGAGAAGTATGTCTGGACACGTCGCAGAAAATACTTATACCCTCATGCTAATGAACACTGAACGTACGTAATCGACGATACGTACGGAATCTCCTGCCGTTTTTGTTTCGTTCGACGAAGAAGGAAAAGAAAAAAAGAAGTAGACGAAACGGAAAGGAGGAAAGACGAATTTCAAATTGCGGATATTTCTTCTCTGCCTCTTCTCCTCCCAGCTACTGATGACTCTTACTCAGTAAATGCGAGTTGAACTGGTACAGATTGCAGCACTGCTCCCCGCAAATATTGCACTTCCACGGGTTACTCTCGCTGTGACAACCTTTGTGGAGGAAGTACAACGTCTGATCCGGAAACGTGATGCGACAGTGGGTGCACTGGAGGCCGCTCGTGCGAGGATCCGGCCTGGTCGAGGTGGGCGGCTCGCCCCTCGAGTGCGGATTGGAATTGACGCCGCAGCCGCTGTTGTTACTGCTGTTATTGTTGTTATTGGTGGAGCTGGTGGAGAGCTTGCGGCGTAGATCGTCGCGCAGTAACGACTTCAACGGCGACACCTTGATCAGCGATGGTAATGGTAGATTGCTCGATGTTGCCCCGCTGTCGTCCATACCGTTGCTGTTCGGCTCCTGCTTGATGGGTATCAGGGAGATCGAAGGTGTAATGGCTTCGTCGCCTCCGCCTACGTTCCTGAGAAAAATACGAAAATCCGATCTTTAATTCAGTTGGAACGCAACTAATTGGAACTTCTAAATTAAACTTTAAAACACACATTTAAGCTTTAAATAACATACATGATTAATTTATCAATAAAATTGATGTTAGCTGTAATGTGAAAATGTAAAAAACATACAATGATTTAATTCTATAGAGAATTTTTAACAATTCATCTCTAATATAATAAATATAAATAAATTTCGCGATTGTTTAAAATGCTCACCTATGAATGCTACTGCTATTGATAGATAATTGGTGATGACTACTGCTCGGCGCGTTGCTATTGCTGTCTGCGCTCTGCGGACTATTGGGGCTGTCACCGTTCAACGGGGCAGGACTTGGATTTCGTTGGCTGGCAGCTTGTTCGGGGTAAGGAATGGATATCTCCACGTGGGGCGTGAGAAAATGCATGGGGGGCGTAGCGTTGTCGGTCGAACGGTTGCCAGTGCTGTCCCCGCTGTCGGACAGAGGTGCCGAAGGCATCGCCTCCCCGGACGTGCAACTATTCATTATGGACGTAGAGCTATTTGGTCCTGGATTATCTAAATCTATTCCATGTCTGCGAGCAATAAAAGGTATGTTATATAAAATGGGGGAGCAACGACACTTTCCTCAAAATAATTCACGAAAAAACGGCAATTCACGCAACCCACCTATTAAAGAAGTGCAACCTAAGGCATTTCATGGTAGCCGCACGGTAATTGCAGAGAGGACACGACTTGACCATATCATGCTGACCGACGTGTTCGTTCTGAAAGTGAGCGCGCATCGCGATCTGTCTTTGGAAACCTCGGTTACAAATCGGGCAATGATATGGCAAAGTTTTTGAATGCGTCGTAAAGTGTTCCGCAAGATGGTCCTTCCGAAAGAATCTCTTCTGACATACCCGACACTCGTACGGTTTCACTCCTGTGTGCCTCATCTGAGAAAAAAAATAAAAGGGGGATGCAATAGGTCAAACGTACACAAATAACTATTATATATACATTCAATACAATCTATATATATATATCGTTTATATCTATCGTTTATAACTATAAAAATTCTACTTAATTCTTTATCAATTAAACAAGAATTTATCAAGTAAACGTATAACGTAAATGTGTAATGCCCGTATCTGATTAAAGATTCGGATTGAGACTGGATTGGAATTTGGACTGATCAAAATAAAGTTGATTGAAAAACTTGAGCCTGGCTTTCTTTCTTCGGATTGGTTAAGTGTTCCAACCCAATCTCAATTTCAAACTTTAACCTGATATGGGAGTAACGCATAACAACACAGGTCTTTCCACTGTGTAATCTTTCTGTACTCACTTTGTGTCGTCTCATGTTAGCTCCATTTGAAAATTTCATATTACAGACATCACATTCAAACATCTTTCTGTGAGACCTGATCCCCGAATGGCCCTCCTCCGCATCCCCGTCATTCTCTGTCCCTTCTATGCCTTCAGCGCTCTCCCCGGCTTCGCCGCTCGCCAGACATTGGTCTTGATGAGCGGTGAAGGCTGTCTTGTTTATAGTTTCATAATTGTCGCATCTATCACATCTGCGGAATCGAGGAAATCAGATTAGACGTAACCAAGAGGAGGGAATCGTTTGCGCAATAGAGAGAGAGAGAATGTCGTTCCAACCAGCTGATCGCAAGCTGTCGCCTGGCGCACTGATCGGACCCGAGTCTCACCTAAACGCAGGAACGGCTCCGTCGCTACTGTCATAATTCGTATTGAGAGCCGCCTCGTTGTCAGGATCTAACGCCTCTTCCTCCCGGTGATTAGAAGAGTCTCCGGCCTCGGCTTGCGACGAGGAATGGGAGTCTACCTCGTTTTCCCCACCACCACCGTCAACCCCATCTGACATGTTACCAGGCGGAAGGACTATCTTGAGTCCGTCATCTAACCTAAGAGACGACAAGCGCTTGGATTAGTCGAGAGGGCTTATTCCCGGGCGGAGGGAGCGGACGTAGGTGCGGGGTCACTCGTAAAAATTCGCACAGCTCCGACGTGACGTCGCGAAACGTCAAAAGGGAGCGCCGATCACCGCGCGTGTTCGCCCATTTAAATATAACCGTAACCTGTTTAACTATGTAGATCGCAGTCGTCTCTCTCGCCAACGTTTCGAGAGCCGACAGCATTATCCGCGAGCCGTGGCAGCGAGGAGGGATCGATCATCTGACGCGCTCCGCGTTCCATATTTCGCCGAGCCGAGCGAACGGGAGGCCTCGTCGCTCGGGGCACCCGACCCGATATCGTCGTGCCCTACATAGCGTTCAACTCCGTTCGTCGTCACCACGTTCGCGGACACGTCGCCGATCCACCGCCGCGCGAGATCTCGCGAGCGCGGTGCAGGCAGGAACGCGTTTCTCGCGCTCATCTCGCTACGTATATAGGACTCGCTCGCGCGCGCGAGCGAGCGAGCGAGCGAGCGAGTAAACTTCTCTCGCGTCGACATCACCGAACATCCCGCGGAGAAACGAGGCTGTGTTTTTTTTATCGCGCGTCCTCGCGGCGCGCGCGATAGAGAGTCTCTCTCACCGTGTAGGTATATCACCGTCGATCACACCGTCGTCGTGACGTTACGCGCGTACGGCTCGCCGTCCGCTCTCATCTCGCGCCGTCGCGCGCGCGCCCGATGCCAACCTTTACCTGTCAGCTCTCTCTCCGGCGTGGCGAACGTGTATAACCCGCGATACACCCGTATAACTCTCCTCCGTCAGGCGTGCTGTCACCCGTGCGGATTCGCAAGAGGCTCTCGCGACGCGAGAGAGAGAAAGAGAGAGAGAGAGAGAGAGAGGAGCGCGCGGAGCTCGAGCGCGTGAAAACGCGAATACGCGACTCCGATCGAGAAGGGGTGCTCCGCCGAGAGAGAGCAAGGTGCAACGGTACGAGTGTTACCCAATCCTGGGAAGATTACGGCATAGAAACACCTGGTGGTAAAGCGCAATGCCAGAGTGCACTGCACTTTGTCCCAGTTTCGACCGAATCCGTCACTCGTGACGTAGTTTTCGCGGCTTTTCCGCGGAAAGTCTCTGGCGGTCGCGCGCGCGACGGCGGAGGAGGCGAGGAAAAAAAATGATTGGCGACGGGGGAACGCGAGGAGGGGGTGGAGGCCAGCGGCGGCGCGGCGGAGGGGCGGAGAGGACAAACGGGGTACGGATGTACGAGAAACGGACGGAGGCGGCAGCTCTCTCGCTCTCGGTTTTGCGGGCCACTTACTCACATTCCACGGGGGGGACCGCGGGTGGTGCACCTTCCTCGCACCGCCACGACGGAATTTCGCTCGTCCTCGCGCGCACGCCGCCCGACACTCACGACGAGCAGCAGCGCTGCCGCGCACGCATCTCCCTGACACTTTTATTTTTCCCTTTTATCACTCCTCTCTCACTCTCTCTCTCGCTCTCTCTCTCTCTCTAGTCTCTGTCTCGCTTTCTCCAACTCCCCGTTTCCTCCCCGCGCGCGCACGGCCCTCGCAACACAAATAAAATGTAACGGAAGCGCAGCGCAGCGCGCGAGGTGTCCGAACGGCACTTCTCTCGGCTCGCCGATATCGGCGCACTGCTGCCAACCGTCACCGACACCGCCGTCGACCAACCGACGACAACGGCGCGGTTCCTCCCGCACAGGGCCCACCACGGGACGTCGCGCTCGCGCCGAACGCTGAACGTCACCACGCGCGCGAGAACCGGGAGACGCACCGTCGTCGACTCGACGCGCGAGCTTCGCCGAAATCGCCGACCCCGCGCGATCGAGGCCACGCGCGCGCGCGCGCGCGCGAACATAACCTTCTACCTCCTCGCGCCGCGAGGTTGGTACCGCGCGCGCATTTCAACTCCGCTGACCTGTCAAAACGTGTCACGCGTCGCCGTTTTCGTCGCCCGTGTCGCGTATGGCGTGTTCACGCGCAACCACGACCGACGGCGACGACCGGGTTCCGCGGTGCAGTTTCCCCGAGTCGCGTCGCGTCGGCGGTTCCCTAACCTGACCCTCACCTACATACGTGAATTTTAGGGACACGCGCGGGAGGGGCGGCGGAAATCGGGTCGCGATCGGATCTCGATCTTCGCCCTCCAACGCCCTCGGGGGGAGATATATCCATCACGATCGAGCCGTGTATCGCTCCGCGTATATCGATTCCGCGAAGTGTGACTCTCTCCCCCAGGAGACCGAACCTAACCTCACCTCATCTCCCAGCTCGCGCTGCGCCCGCCTACCTCGCCGCGTGCAACTGCGTTGTTTGTTGACTTCTCGCGCGAGACTCCGGACGGAACTTCCGTTATGCCACTCGCGGGACGACGAGGATCGCCGTCGTGACCGCCGATCCCACTCGCGAATTTCGTATATTGCAGCTGTGCGTATATCCGATCACACGCCCGATGTTTATCGTACCGCACGAGGGTCAGCATCCGCGCGAGTCGACGGTCTCCCGACTGACGTAAACAGGTAATCTGCAATCCCGAGAGGTCGCATATTTTTCGCATCCCCACGCCGATCACATCTCATTGATCTCCTTGAAAAGGCGATAAATGGACCGAGCGGGCAGCTAGAGACTAATGAAGATCCTTCCGTTTTCACGTCTATTCCGTATATGTAGAATCGCATTAGCAACGATAATATATACTATATATGCGACATACATCAACCGAATGTAAATATTAAATATGTTAACAGTGCGCCAGTGATTCGCCAGTATACAGATTCGAGTCGGAGCCCTCCGACATCTGACAGCGAGATCCGCGTCAGTTGTCCGTCATTTTGTGGCCATTTAAATGGAACGTATCATTTAAATGGCTCGGAAATGGCAAATCATGCTCGGTCCCTGCAGCTCAGCCCATTGTATGATTCCAGGCAGAGAGATTCTATTATATTTCTGTTGACATTCTGCCGACAAAGCGCGACAGCAGGCGCTCCGCAACATCTGTTTTCCACAGATTTGCGTGGCTATCCGCGAGGCATTTAGCTAACTTGTCGATTTACAAATGAACGTATCGAGAAGGAACACGCGGATGATTTGTGGACGAAATTATTCACTTGCGCTTGGTGCAGCTGTGCTCGCGAGAAGAAGGATTAACGGAGCGAAGAAGACGGGGAGAGAGAGAGAGAGAGGAGGAGTGAGAGAGACACGGTGAGAAAGATACGAGACAGTGACAGAGTATAGTATACATTATGGTGGCAGTGTGCTGGGCGTTGCTCTCCAGTACCTGTTGATCGTCGTTTGCATGTTATCTCACCGTGCGATTATCGTTGTTTTACCAACTATAATCTGTGGGCTCTTCGGTGATCATTCTTATCATGAGACGCCACGGTAAGATCGGAGTGAATGATCGTCTCGTGACGTTCGATCTGTCTCTCCTTCTCTTTTTCACACACGCGCTCTCTCTCTCTCTTTCTGCGTTTCTCCCATTCCTCTCTTTACAAGTTATGTTTTTTCTTCGATCGATCATCGAATTCGTGTGCCTTATCGCTGATAACACGCCCGTTTTGCATATGTTAAGTGCTCCTCGACGGATCTTAAGCTCGACGTAAACGATATATCTGTTTGTCGGCTAGTTAGTTTCTTTTTTTTTATTTACGACCGAGTTTAAGTTTGCAGATGATCGATGTTCAATTGTTAAAAACTTCAAGGCCTTCGTCGATGTAAGTGCTCGTGAGTGAATTTGAAACAAGACCGACGAGTTCAAAATTCTCGTGTTTAAAAAAAGTCTAAAGATTGAGAGTATTTTCGCAAATCGTTGGTTTCAGAAACTTATGGTTTATTGCAATTTATTAAAGAAGAAACTCATAGTATTTCTTCCTTTGTTTATTATTGCAATTATCTACTGTAGTTGTCTCGGAAAAACTATATAACACAATAAAACACGGCAAAACTATTTTTATAAATTATACTGTAATTTTTTGCTTTAATATAATACAAATATTTTGTTATAATATAATAATTAATCAGAAAACAATAAAATACATCTCAGGGTAATTTAAATTTATTTTTCTATCAAGTAAACTCGTTTTTTATTAGATATAATTACAATTTTAATATGAAGTGCTCTAAGGAAATTTAATATAAATTTTATATATTTTTATATTATAAGTTTTATATATGTACCGTAGAATTACTCCTCATGTTACTTTTTTATTAAACTTCTAACAATAAAATACAAATACAAAATTATATATATATATATAAAATTTTATAAGTTATATATATATGATTTGATTGAAAATACAACTTTAAATACAAATACAAAATTATATATGTATATATATAAAACTTCCATTCGCATAATTTTGCTCACTCGCATATTATCGATTGTTTAACAAGACAATCCTGATCACGTCATACATACAAATTTCCTGACAAATGTACCACACCTCGCGACGTTGCACTTACATCATCTGAAAAGTCATGTGAATCAACGGTCGAGCTTTCGTATCTCTTCGATCTTAACATTCAGCAAACACCTCCATTTGTAGAGATATCGAGTTTTAGAGAACGATTTTTTGTGGAACGTGTCGGAAAAATATTGTCAGAGAGTGAAAACATCAACACCTAATGGTAATTTTTTTCTTGCAGCGTTAAGTGATGGGCAAAGGTGAGGAGAGAAACGGCACGACGGCGCAGGCGGGCGAATCTACATTCCTGGCGAAGAACTCGAACGAGGCCAGCAGAATGCTGGAGGCCGCATTACTCCAGATGGACGACATTATTTCCGGTACAAATGTGATGATTTATAGCGACATATTAAATTTCAATTTGGATATATCGTTCGTATGGATATATTATTTACGGATATATAAAGATTCTTTTGTAAAAACATTATCGATGCGATTTTGTAAGAAAAATAGAAACTAGCAATTCAGTTTTATGTCAGTAAAAAAAAGATAGAAAAATATTCGATTCAAGAATCAGATAAGCCGACGATTTAGTGTCAGCTACATATTTCAAGTTTAGTAAATTAGATCACAAATTTTATCTTGTTATTGAACGTGATTAACAGCATCGCTTTCTGCACAATCATTATATTGCAAATACATTTTGCAGGTGCTTGCGCCGAAAGCTCGGCTGAGAGCAGCTCGGAGTGGAAGAACTCGGTGAGAGAGGCGGCAAGAAATCTCGTGACCGCGATCAAGGGCGCGCCGATGCCACCCCCGCCGCCCGATGGCGTCACCCAGAACATCCTGCTGGCATGGATGCAACCGGTAAGCTGATTAGACGACGATAACGATCTCTGCTCCGTCGATTTTATGCCGCTCGCACGCTCGAGCGTCGTCGTCTCCTCGGAATTCTGCCCTTCCGCGACTTCCGCTCTTCGAAACGCGACGCGTTCCGGAAACAGGAACGTTTCGCGATCAGCTCGGACGACGGCGGTCGTGCGAGGAACACGTGTGGTGGCCGCCGCGTGTGCATCCGGAGCCGCGGTTCGCATCCGGTACACGCTGTCGCCGCCACCGCCGCCGCCGGTGCGCACGTGTTCGCGCGCGTGTTTGATCGCCGTGACGCACACCGGTCACGTATGCATACGTCCGTGCGTACATCCGGACGTCTGACTTTGTAATCGTTAGACCGTAATCGTGGACGTGATATTGATCGATGGCTGAAATCGACCATGTGTGGCTTATTAAGAATCCATACGGTTTGGTTTCTAATTACCGTCGCTTTAATTTGTACCCGTCGCGTTTACATAAACATGGAATTTTTGTCGATAGAATTTTTTTCTTGCCTAACAATAAGAGGTAAGTACAATATAATTTGTAATAATTTTTACGTATTATGTGCAATTAGATTATTACCTTCGTATTGATAAGCAATAACAAGATAAGAGTTATACTTTTATATGTGGTATCATGCAGTGACCTAATGTTTAAAATATTATTTTTTATGGAGCTTAAATAGCTAGTGATGAAGAAAATCACCTAATGATTGCGATCTTTATAGGTAACGAGAAGAGAGTACATTAATCTATTTATAAATTGCTGTTGCGTCTCTCTCTCTCTCTCTCTCTTTCTCCCTCCCGCTCTTCTCGAAGGATTTCATGGCGTTAATTTTAGTTTCGGCGGAGACGATGCCGCGGCTGGTAGCGCGAGAGTGCACTTCACCGAGATAACGTTCGATTGTGTATAAACCTGCCGATATCAGTCCTGGATACACTCTGCACGGTGCACGATATCTGACGACATCGTTTTACCGATTGTCTATTACAAACAGTGACCTCGCGAGAGAAACTAAATGATGGAAATGTGATTTTTATTGGAAAGAAAAACTGCATCTTGACGTTTTTCGATACATCTGCACCAGACATGAGACCGTAACGTGTTGCGTACTGAACTCAACTGGAAAGCCAACGCAATAATTTAGTGAAATAAAAACGTGCAGCGTGAAAAAAATTCATCATGGAGAACGTCTGGAGCGACAGTATCACTGGAGAGCGAAAGGATCTCGCTCCAATAATGGAAGAAGAGGACAGGGGACAGGCGAAAGGTTCTCTTCAACTCTTTCCCCCATCCCGCGTGACGTCAATATATATACAGAAAATTCGCGTAATATCAAATCGGAACATATCTTCCGGGTAATTATATCACTCGAATTAAAGATGCGTCTCGAGAAGGTATCTCAATTTTTTTATTTTCGATATCGAATCTGAAGTAATTTAATCGGAAAGCAACGTGAGGACTAGATAATTCGATTTACGATTTTCGCGAAGGCAAAGCCACGACACACGACGGAGCGCGTTTCATTTCAATTAAACGGCGCGTTGTAACTTGACAGACGAGTTCGCGGGACTCGCGGCGTCTCGGTACTAAAATCGTACGGCTGTCTGGCTGGCTGGCTCGCTCTGCCTGTGGCCAGTGCACCGAAGTCACGCTTTTGATGGTGCCCGAATAAGTGGCACGCTCGAAATAGATTGCCTTAACTGCGGAGCGCGCCGACCGCGGTTGGCCGTCGTATAGGCACATACGTTCATTGACTCATACCTCGAGTACGAGGTATAGTATACCGCGTCGATCGATTATTGTTTCAATCTCCGTTAAAGTAAACACTGTCGGTCGTTCCGTCGACGGTCGAGGCCGGGTCGAACCGGGTACGAAAATATATAGCTCGTCGCGCATTTACGATCTTTGAAAATTCAGTTCGCGATACCGTCGACGAGAGAAAGCTCTTGAAAGCCCCCTCCCCCGCCCCTCGTGGGCGCGGATTAAAAAAAGCTTCAAACGTCTATCTAAATTCAGGTTCGCAGTCGGACTCGTCGGACGCGGCGTCGACTATAAAGCGCTGGAACAGCCGATGGACGCCCTCAGAGGGCTACGACTCGTCGGGCACGTCGACCAACTCCGACGTGGGTGACGAGTACGTCGAGGATTATCGGCGGGACAGCAGGACGAACCTGTCCGAGCCGGCGGTCGCGTGCCAGGCAGCCTACCGATCGCAGGAGTGCTTATGTCAGGTAGACCTGAGACGGAGGGGGTCGAATTCAAACAAGTCGTATTCGGAATATTACATATCGTATTTATATTATTCCAATTAAAAAATTATGTTTATGAAAAATTATGAAAAATACAAATGAGATATCTTCCGTGAGGTATTGATAATATCGTTGTAGGCTTGCTTACTCGGCTATGCTAAGATGATAGCGCTTCAAGGGAGTATGCCTAATATCTGTGCAGTATCCGGCGGCATGGCTAATATCTGCCCGGCGTCGACCGCGCATCTGGGAAGTTTTCCGTCTCTCTGCGCCTGTTCAAGGTCACTGTTTGTATAGCATTTCTAACTTTTTACATTGTCGCTCGACACAAATGCCTCGTTTATACCCTTAATAATGAAACTCTAAAGAGCTATCGATCCTTGCAAACCGACAGCGTTTCTAGCGAGCTCGCGCATCACGCCGGATTCAAGGAACACGCGAGAAGCGTCGCACATTATCCGCACGTCTGTCACCTGCAGCAAGATCCGATGTTCGCGAAGGAGCGAGAAGTGCACGCAGGTAGCAGGACGAACAGTACGGCGTCTCTACCGGTCAGCTCAGCCGGGAGATGCGGCGGTTCTTTGGACAGAAGGCGACGCAGATTCCGCAGCAGAGTGGACCGCGATCAGAGAGCTATGTCTCACAGCGATCTGATCTGCCACGAGAATAGCAGACCGCAGCACTACTGCTCGCTACAGCAATTTCATTGCGGAAGCAATGTGTGCATAAATAATTATCATAGCAAGACCGAGGTATACTGTACATACAAAAACATTTTTTAATAAAACTTCTGACTGCGTGGTACCATAAATGTGAATTTTTCCCGAAGAAAATCCTTTTATTTTTATTTAAAATATTTACGTTTCGTTTTTTTTTATTTCGAAATATTTGTCATTAATAAGATATTAATGACCGTTTTGTCGATTTGCTTTTCACAGGAACGATTGAGGAAGTTGGAAAGTGAACGTGGAGCATTGCATATGGAGGTATCAGTTTTGTCCGAGCAAGTCGACGCACAATCGAATAAGATCCAAGAGCTGGAGAGCTTACTTCAGGAAAAGAAAGATACTCTGAGGCAGATGGAAGAAGCGTTACAGAAGGTAAAAATATCTCGTGATTTTATCTCAGCTCGGAGCTTTACGTGTGCTCATTTGTTTTTATAGGAAGTTTTATCAAGAAGCGCTTTGGAGACGCAGAAATTGGAGCTCCTTACCTCCTTATCCGAAATGAAGCTCAGACAAGCCAGTTTGGAGCACGAAAATCTGTCGCTGCGCAGTACAAGTCCTTTATCGAATGTTAGTACATATTTTAACGGTTTAACATATTTTAAGTCAACACATTTTAATTATATTTATAATTAAAATATAGTAGTATTATATAACATTATAATATTTTATGTTATAATATAACATTTTATTTTATTATATTTTATCGTATTTTATGTTATTAAATTATGAAATTTTATATGATAAAATTTATTGAGCACTCTTATGTCTGCAGGGTGAGAGATTCAGCAGGCATACGGGTCAATATAGTAGTCTTCCTAGGCCACCGACGTCCAAGAAAGGCGTTGTATTTGGTAAGGTTCCAAATTTAGTCTCGGGAGTGCACACGACGGTACCCTTGGCTGTTAGGGGAGTCTCTGCGAGATGTCTGTCCGCTCCTATTCTAGGTTCCGATCGATCTTTATCTAAGCATGCGGTGTCACGTTTAAATGTTTTTTTTTAACGATCTCAACATACGTTATCTGAATTAATTAATTAATAAAATATTAATCGATTCGAGTAACAGCATGTCGTTGCGATTAATTGAAAAGTAACATCGCTTGCAAACCACTCATGGTCGATGCGCATGCATTCGGGCGTTATTTAATATCAGTTTTTAAGTCTTTACGAATTAATTTATGAATATAAATATTGAAAGTGCTTATTTCAATTTTGCAATTTGATCATTTTGGAATCTTTCATGGAACCAAAGAGTATAATTTGCTGATTATTGTCATTGCTTTGATAAATATTTGAAGAATTATTCGCAAGTAAAATTGCTGCAAAAAGTTGTGTCGAATTCATGCAGTATTGTGAAGGATCAATATACACATCATCATTTAACATATTTTATCACACACACACACACACACACACACACACACACACACACACACACACACACACACACACACACACACACACACACACAACACAGTTATGTGTGGTTATAAAAACGACGAACATTATCACCATAGCGGAAGAAGCGAAAATCGTAATTGGTGAAGCGAGCGTGCAAGTGGAAGTGCCACCGAAACCGCTCGCGGAGCTCAGCATGGAGGAGATTGGCGATTGGTTGTCTCACCTTGGTCTGGAATGCTACGCCGGCGAGCTGAGACGATGGGGCGCCACCGGATTGAAATTGCTCGATGCCACGCAGGTTCAGCTGGAGAAAGAGCTAGACATAAAGAACGCTCTGCACAGGAAAAAGTTGCTTTATGCCGTCGAATCGGAGCGAAGCAACGGCGCTGGATTTCTCGGTTCTCAACAGGTCGCGATCGATGTTATTACAGTTTTATCGAGTATCATAATTTTATTTGAGAAAAAAATCTGAGAGTAAAGATTCTCTCCGACGTCTTGCAGATGGATAACGCGGCCGTGTTACGGTGGCTGGACGACGTCGGACTGCCGCAGCACAAGGAAGCCTTCCACCACGCCAAGATCGATGGTAGAGTTTTACACAGGTTGACCACGGAGGATCTGTTAAATCTCGGAGTGACTGCGCAGCTGCACGCCGCCAGTTTAAGACGTGGCATTCAGGTAATCCCAAAATGTGATAATTATATTGTAAGCTCTCACGTTCAAAAGCTACGTGACACACATAGGCCGTAAATTTGGAGTCAATAGTTCGAATCAAATCGTGTAGGTATTACGGGACTTGAACTTCGAGTTCGACTGTTTGGAGAGAAGATCAGTGAATGGGAACGGTGCCGACGGTACGAACGTGACCCTCTGGACGAACCACCGTGTGATGGAGTGGCTGCGGGTCGTAGATCTCGCGGAGTACGCGCCGAACATGCGCGGCTCCGGCGTTCACGGCGGTCTGATGATACACGAGGGTCGATTCACTTCCGAGCTGCTCGCCACGTTACTCAGCATTCCACCGGCGAAAACTCTGCTTCGCAGACACCTGACGACCCACTTCAACCAGATTCTCGGCAGGGATGTGGTTCAACAAAAGCGAGAGATAGAGAGCACGCTCGGATTCGTTCCACTGACGCTTACCGCTAGATTAAAGGTGGGTTTTTGTCGTCATCTCATGCCGGATAATAAAAGCTTTTGCAGTCTTGTAATTATTTTATATACCTATTTTATCATGATATTGATACTTTTTAACACAGTAAACAATGATTAAATTTCATATCCAGGTACCAAAGAAATCTCAGTTCACCCTGAAACGCAAGAAGAGTAAAAACGAGATGGATTTCGGCAATTTGGTTTGCCCATTGGAGGCATCGCCACCAGGTACCCCATCAACGCCCTCGTCAACACCGGGCAGCCCTAACTTGAACTCACCCACATTCTAACCACAATTAAAGCTTCATTCGGGTAATCATCTAAACTAACTTGTAAGTCTAACTCGACTAATTGATATCATAGGTCATATTACGGATCATACGATTATAACCCTTATAAATTGTGTAAATCATACTTTCATCTCTGGAAAAACCTTTTTTTTTTTTGTTTACTAAATACTTCATCTTGAGTGAGATTAATTGACAGAGATTATTATATAAAATACATTGCCGGGTGCTAAATTAAAATTCTATTAGCTTATATAAATAACTTTTACATCAATATATTGCTTATTATTATCAATTTTCATTCAGTTTCTTCATTAAATTAATACTGTTTCTTTTTGTCAAAAGCTTTTTACGAAAGCATCGAATCCTATATATGGCGCTATTATTAACCATTTCGAATGTTATAATTTATTTTGTATAAATCTCAATTTTATATATAATATGCTCAAATGAAATTGTGCCTTTTAGATTTGGAGGATACTGGCCAAAGGAGAGTTATAGGTTGCATATGAAGTGGACGAATTGCGAGAGGATAATATATTTCAATATTAAAACATATATATTTGGATATATATTTATACGAACAATTTCTGAGACAACGCGCGAAGACACCAGAATCACCTGGGACCAGGTTATCAGTAAAGTAGAATAACCATATCGAAATGTGCATTTTGATATAAAGTTACATAAACGAGAGCTAACTCCGACACCGCCAAAGTTTTATTAACGCCGTTAAATATAAATAATTTGATAAAAATTAACCGCTTTATAGAGAAAATATTTTTACTACGAATTATTAAATTATGTATAGGTACAGGTATACAGTAAATTGGAAATAAATATTAAATTTATACCTATCTTCTCCATATCTATATCTTTCACTTTTAACTCTTATGTAAGAACAACGTAGCACTCAATTAATTATCTATCATGTATTTTTATTATAAAATGAAACTCATTCTTATGCTGCACAGTTGTATATATCTTGTGTACCAAGAGGAATTGTAGCTCACAGTTTTGACAATCGTAGAATAATATTCATAATTATCTGTTAAACTTTTTTTCAATTTTATCAATAGTTTCGTTAATTATTTTGTCAACACATAATTTAATAGTTATTTGCATGTGTCTAATTATATATACATTTTCATTTTAACTACCTTTTACAGAAATAATAAAATACAAATGGAATTAAAAGTGCAGTATTAATGCAAGTTTTCGAAGAAAATGAATTTTCTTAAAATATATACTGTTTTATTTTTTTTTTTTTTAATCAAATTCTTTTGCGACAGACGGTAACCGTCTGTTTCGAGTCTATCTTATTGACTATCCTATTCAAGATATTTAATTTTGTCAACTTGCGGTTGGCGGAGCTTTATCAACGCGCATGCGCAACGTACGTTTTGGCTGGATTTTTGTTGGCAGGAGTGCTGCGGCTTCCTTTTCCTCGCTGCTTCACAGAGTCCATCAGGATGGTGAGTGTTTTCGTGTTACAGTATTTCTAAAGTAATCTAACAATTTCGGAGACATCGTCCTTCCGTTCATCGTTTATTTTTACTAAACGTACAATCGAGATTACCGCGTGTAATTTTCTGCATTTATTACTTGCGAAGAAAATGGGATTTGTCTGCGTTGTACCGGAAAATGTTAACCTAAACGAACCCTCCGCAGTTAAGCTATTTTTTAATGGAGCGACGATTCTACTGATATTCGTATTGTCTAAATATGTTGTATTACTTCATTATATTTGTTCAGTCTACACACAGGAAGAAAACCAGGAAACTACGAGGCCACGTCAGTCACGGACACGGTCGCGTGGGTGAGTTTGCTCGATACAATTTGTTGTATCTACAGCCACGTGTGTGAAGTAAATAAAGTAGCGTTAGTAATGCAATAAATGGTACTAGTAAATCAACGTAGCACAATATATGTTTATAAATTCGTGAAATTAATAGCGAATTCGGTCGGACGCATTAATTCGCACTCAGTGGTTGGGTAAAGTGTTGCACTTACCTTTACTTATTTAAGCGTTAAAGTCGTTGTACACAAATTAGATGAGATATGCGTTTAATATAGAATTAAATTGTGAAATCCTCAATACACTTTACAGAGCAATTTGGTAAGGTATTTATTGAGCATTTTATCATAAGAAATATTGCACTTTAACATTTAGATCAGTGTACGATGGCTTTAACATGATATAAGATACATTTATGTCTTTCAAAGAAGAAATTAAATTTCCGTTAAATTGTATAATTTCATATGATTATATATAATATATATTTTTTCCTTTAAATATTTCTCGTATGATGATTTGCAACGGGCGGACTGAAAAGTGCTGTACAACACTTATATTCCTGTAGATTGTTGCATTCTGATTGTTATGAAATATTAAATCATATAAACATAAAACGCGACAATTCAATCACAAGTTTGCACTTATTTCGATACATAATAAAATATCTTTTGCAAAGTTCCAATTGAATTTCCCAGATCTAGTAAAAAATATACGCTTAGTTTCTGTATAATTATTGTCTATTACGTTATTGTTTTTATTTTGATATGACTTTTGATAAATACTCGATTTTTCTTTTTACCGTGAAAGTAATAGCATTAAAAATATATTCATTTATTACACTTATTTATTTTTTTCAATTTGATTGAATCTTTCAGGCAAGCATAGGAAGCACCCAGGTGGTCGCGGTAATGCCGGTGGTATGCACCATCACCGAATCAACTTCGACAAATACCATCCCGGTTACTTTGGAAAGGTAAGAATACACCTGTATAATGTATCTACAATAAAGAGAGTTATGTGTTCACATGATGAGAATTCAACTTTCACCGGCGAGCTGAATTAAATTGATTGTATTTTTTTGTATATTCTGAATAATTTCTAACGTGTAAAACGTGTTATTGAGAATTTGTATCTCCTAATTCTCCAATATCTCTTTCATTTTACAGCTCGGTATGAGGAATTATCACCTGCGACGCAACACTAAATGGTGTCCCACTATCAATCTAGATAAATTATGGACTCTGGTCTCCGACCAGACAAGATTGAAATACAAAGATGTTGAAGGCAAGGCGCCTGTAATCGATCTCGTGAAAGCGGTAAGTCAAACTTTTTAAATTGTAATTTTATTTAATTATATATATATATATTTTTTCTTTAATTATATTTATACTATTATTTCTCATATATGATGATTTGCAACGGGCGGACTGAAAAGTGCTGTACAACACTTACTATTCCTGTAGATTGTTGCCTTCTGATTGTTATAAATTAAAATCAAAATAAGTCATATAAATATAAAACGCGACAATTCGAAAACGTTAAAAGTTTGTACTTATATTTCGATACATAAAACACTGATCGATGCATTGACTTTTTTTCAGGGATATTACAAACTCCTGGGAAAAGGTCGACTACCGAAGCAACCTGTTATTGTCAAGGCTAAGTTTTTCAGTAAACAGGCGGAGGACAAGATCAAGGCAGTTGGTGGGGCGTGTGTTTTGTGCGCGTAATCGAGTATGTTCCTTTGTTCCTTTTTTATTCAATGATATTTTTTATTCTCATGATGAACACCCCTCCTAGAAATGTACAGCATTTGGAGGTATGCTGTGCGTTAGTGTAGAGCATGTGACTTCTGATCAACAATTTTGTAAAATACTTTTAAAGTTGGTATAATCAAAATGCTAATTTACACGGTTTATTTTCAGAATACCATTCTTCATAAATGTTCATGTACTGTAAGTACTTAACTTTGCTCCAAGTACTGAGTAAAGTTTAGTAAAGTGTGAAATGAAAGGTCAAGATTAATTCATGAAGGATGTATTTCGATGAAACGATAAATAAACATTTTTTAAAGCACATTTCTCTCGTTCATTATTTTCACACTCAATTATTATCTTAATTATTCTTACAAAAATTATATAAATTTTCATTTCTGCACATCAAATATATACATTCTAGAATTTTTACCCAGAATAAAATCATAAAATCTCGTGTCAATAATGAAAAACTAAACACTAATATCTTAAAAAAAGGTTTATGGTCTAAACTATTTCTCGTCTCTAGATTATGCAATATGAGGTGGTGGTGGAGGTATTTGCATTCCAGTCGCCAAGAGAGCCGGCGGCGGTGGTACCGGATTGAACATTGGCGGCCTGGGCGGGGGCGGTGGAACGGGCACCATCGGGCCCAATCCCGGTCTTATCAAGGGAACTGGTGGTGGCGGCACTTTGCCTACGGACGGCTTCTCGTTCTTAAATGCAAACTGCAAGAAAAACTGCTTCGTGTCCTTGTTCCAGTGAGTCCAAAACTTGCCCTCCGCCTTTTCTACTTCTCTGCTGGGCACCTATGAAATATAAGATCATAAATAAGGAAAAAGAAGGATCCTTCACACCACACACTTTTAAATAGCTTAAGTTAAAACAAATAGAAGTTTTCGGTTTTTATCATTCAAACATATTCGACCTATCTAATATGACTTATCCAATATTGGCAGTATGAAAATACGGAAATAATCTTACTTTGAAGGCGATAGTCTCGTATGGCTCAGCCGCGAACAGCAGATACTGCCACTTGCGATCCGGTGGCTCGACCCTTTGCTCGTAGGCGGACATAAACCTGTGCCGCGGTATCACATTGTCCGCCACCTCCGGGTAGTCCACCTGAAACAGCAGGCTCTGCTGGCCGGACTCGGGATCGCGCTGCTTGGTGACCCGGTAACCAGGCCGACCGATCTTCACGAACTTCTTCGGCTCGACCCGAGGCTTCTCCGGCGCGAGGGTCTGCGGCGCCTCCTTGGCCTCCTTCGCCGCTCTCCTGGCCAAGTTGGCCTGGTGCTTCTTGCCCTGCGTATGCGCCAGATAACTGCCCTCGTTGTTGTGCAGAGTCAGACACAGCTTGCACTCGTACGAGCCCAGGTGATTCTTCATGAAATACGGATCCTTGTTCAGGTCGATGGTCTCCAGGGCGAGCTGACGGAGCCGCTCCCGGCGATCGCGATTGCTCTCCGACCAGGAGGCGACGCCGCCGCCGCCGGTCTTGCCGCCCGGACGATTCTGGAAATCCATTGTTGCCCGCCGAGGGTGTGTCGCGTCGGCGGAAGGACGAAGAGCGTTCTCTGCGGATACCTCGGCACAGTCGTGAATACACGGATAACCTCACTTTTTCTTTCCTTTACATGTCCCCGTTCCGAAAGGTTACGTGAAAGTAAAGATAACTTTACTTCGTCACGTTTGATGGCAAGAACTCCGATGCGGAGTCTTTTTGTCAATAAAATCCAGTAAACTGAATCAAGATAACCTCACTTGGATAACCGCTCGGTTTACCTTACCGGTTTATCACGCTTCACGTTGTTACTAGATGAGATATCGGATGATTTTTGTCACTGCCTATTCTCGAATCAAGAACTCGATCTGTAGCCAATAAAATTGCTGCTTTGTGTAAAAGCAGCAAGTTGATTGGTTACCCAGTTTTCAGTCCGAAAACTCGGACTGTTTTCTAGCATCGTGATGACTTTAATTGTAAGAGGCGATTTGAGAGAGAGAGAGAGAGAGAAATAAAAAAGCGTGCTGCGTGTATTAAACAAAGATACTTACGCACACACTTAAAGAGTCTCTTTGTCAAAATTATCAGGTGATTAATTTGCATTCGCACTGCTTGCACTTTTACATTAGTCTTTCTCTCTCTCTCTCTCTCTCTCTCTCTCTCTAATGGCTGAATATACATTTATCTCGTTTTAAGTGCAAAAATTTTTGGAATTTCAAGCAACGCGAACAAAATATCTCGTCCGAGAAATGAATAAAAAATCTTAATACCTCTTTTTAATGATTTCCAGAACGCGACCGATTTCGGATGTTCCTCGTCTACTCTTCCTATGCATCACGCTCGCTTGTGTGAGGAAGCACTTGTTGACTGTAAATAATAGGATTGAAATTTGAACATTTATTTACGGCATGCAGATTGATTGATTGTATCATGAGCTGAAATTCGGAGTGTCGTTAAAATCCATTTTCCCTGAGGTGACAACAGAATCCCGTAATTCTGTTGAGAAAACTGCTTCTATTATCGACCGTCGACCGCTTTGTTAACCAAGACTGCGAGAGTCACGATGGCTGCGAGAGGTATTCACAGTCTGAGATTCAATCAGGATCAAGGTAAGCTTCAGTTTGCAGCTAGAAGCTTGATAGTCGCGAGATACATTCTTTTTTTCATTGGCATTGTCTCTCTCTCTCTCGCTCTCTTTCTCTCTTGCAGGTTGTTTTACCTGCTGCATGGAGTCAGGAGTGAGGATCTACAATGTCGACCCGCTGGTCGAGAAGGCGCATTTCGATAACGAATTAATGGGAAGCATCTCCATGGCCGAGATGCTCTGGAGGACGAACGTGATCGCCGTGGTGGGCGGTGGGAATCGTGCTAAATTCGCCGACAACACGGTTCTGATCTACGACGATCTGTTGAAGAAGTTCGTTATGGAAGTCACCTTTACCAGTCTCATCAAAGCGGTCAGATTGCGAAGGGACAAGTATGGAATTTTATGCCTTTGTTTTCCCATTATAAATTCGTAAATAGACATCCTGTTCTACAGAGAGAATATTCTTTCATTGTAGAATGATAGTGGCGCTACAGCGAGAGATCCACGTATTTTCGTTTCCCACGCCCGTTCGAAGATTGCTGACGCTCGAAACGAGAGACAATCCAACGGGTTTGGTGGAAATAGCGACGTTCGCGACGGCGCAGAGACAGTTGCTGGCCTTTCCCGGCCACAAACTCGGCAGCGTACAATTGGTGGACCTTGGAGCCACTGAGGCTGGTAGTTCCAGTGCTCCCGTTACTCTTTCAGCACATCAGGTATTTTAGTTTTTCTTGTTACTTGGATTTTTCTTTTTCAACATAAAGATTTACTGCTCAGTTACTTTGAAATTTATTTTTTTTTTCTATTTATGTTACAATATTTTTCCAATTTGATTTGAAATTTATTTTTGGTTTTTATTTATGTTACAATATTTTTTTATTGTGTATTTTTTCTTTTTCAAAATTTATTTATATATGGGATGAAGACCACAGGATTAAGACTACATTTTTTTGACATTCTTGACTACTAAGCTATTCAACACCCTGATTGCTTACTTTTAATAATAGTTAATAAGGCAAGCAATGTTATATTTGACCATTTATTGTATCCATTTATGTGTTGCAACAACAATAGGGTGCACTGGCGTGTCTGGCAGTTAATGGAAATGGGACAATGATCGCGACTGCATCTGTTCAGGGGACACTAATCAGAGTGTGGGACTCTGTACGCAGGAGTTTACTGGTTGAATTGAGGCGCGGTGCCGATCCTGCTACGCTCTACTGGTCAGTATATAAGTACAAAATTAATAGCACTATCATAGTACAATTAATATTTTTCGATTTCTTAATGTTTCTTGATATTTTCCTTTTTTTTTAGCATAACGTTTAGCAGAGACTCGGAATTCTTGTGCGTCTCGAGCGATAAAGGGACAGTGCACATATTTGCCCTGAAAAACACCAGCTTGAATCGACGATCCACGTATGTAGAGGATACTATTTTCGAAATAAATATCGCACTGTTACTTCAAAAGTGACAACTTAAAAAAAACGTGATTTTTTTATTATGAATGAATTAGGTAAACATTATTTTGTCAGCCATCAAATGTCTGGAAAACTTAATTTTTTTTGTGTCACTTTTAAAGCAAGAGTGCGAAGTAGTTGCTTTTATTATACAACATATAATATTCATATGTCGTCTCGTTTTTTAGTTTTTCAAACATGGGTTTCCTGGGCAATTACGTCGAGAGTCAGTGGGCCTTGGCTACCTTCACAGTACCCCCGGAATGCGCCTGCGTTTGCGCGTTTGGTACACACAATTCTGTGATAGGTAGCGTATTTATTTCATGAGTAAAAATATGTTGAAACTCCGGTCTGTTTTATATTATTTTACATTTTTATTATAATTTCAGCTGTATGTATGGACGGAACGTTTCACAAGTACGTCTTCACCGCGGAAGGCAATTGCAATCGACAGGCGTTCGACGTCTTCCTTGACGTGTGCGACGACGACGATTTTTAACACAAGGCCTATTACGCCGTGCCTACTACGTGTGCGTGTGTGTGCGCATAGCTACCAGGCTTGCAAATGTACTTGCGATGAAATTTCTAGTCCGTCTGCGAACGAAATTTCGTGTTTATGTGATACAAATTGTACAGGTAATCGAATCGCCGATTACGTGGAAAGTGCACAAGTCATGGGAAAGTCAATATCCTATAGTGTCCTCGAATACGACCTCTTTTTTTGTGTGGCTTATGTACTTTCCATAATTAATTATACAGTTTTAATAAATATCGACAGACATTTATTTTGTACAACAAACAATCCATTTAATTTTATATCTATCACTTATCCTTTACAGAATTTTTCAGAATGTAAAAAGAAACTTTATATAACAATCGTAACGTATCCAGTAATTTTACAGAATTAAATTATGTAGGTCTATTCGAGAAGGCTCGTTCTCGAATTTTCTCTGAAAAAAGTTTTTTTATTGTTAATGGAGATAATAATTTAACTTACGATTTAAGGAGCTTTCTGACAGGAGATACATATTCAACACAGTTATTCTGTTTTTGTCTTTCACTGAATGTGGAGGAAAGACAGAATGACTCCTGTGTCATTATGCGTCTCTTGCCTGAAGGAAGGCTCTATTAGTTATGTAATAATTAATATTCTGAAGGAAGATACATACTGTACGGTTCAGGATTCAACATTGGTCGTATCATGGCAGCGTAACAGCATACACCTATGAGTCCAAAGAAACCTCCGACGAACACACCGTACCTCCATCCTTTCAATCGCATAATTCCCAACGGATCTATCAGTAAAAAAGGAATAAATATATTGAATAAGATTTAATTTAAAGAAAACGAAAGCTTCCGTTTTATAATTATTTAATAATTCGACTTATTTCGACGTTCTCTAGGAGCACATTAGGATTTTAATTGTGACAACATCACTATTGCTAAATATCGCGTCGATTCTTACCACGAAAATTATTTTATGTCTGATTAATCATTAAATAATCTTCGATTTTAATATTTAAAGTTATGTCATCGGTGTCCCGGTGTACCAACTGGCCTATGCTGTTTTCGGGGTTATGTCGCGTAGTGTCTAATTTCGCCGTTAGATGGCGAGAATATAAAACCTCTATTTCTCGTTAGTACACCTGAATACATCACTCGGTATATAAGAAAAATTATAAGGATGAGTTCCCGTACTTGCTTCGGCAGTACATATACTAAAATTGGAACGATACAGAGAAGATTAGCATGGCCCCTGCGCAAGGATGACACGCAAAATCGTGAAGCGTTCCACATTTTTTGCAGTTTTACGTATCATTTTTTATTTATTATCAATATAAAATTGCGTGATAGTTAATTTACAAGATTAATAATAATATATAAAATTAGTATATCTAAAATTTTGGTTTGCTGTGCGTATCAAAAAATACCGAGAAATAAATTTAAAAAAAGAACGCTCAAGTGAAATTAAAAAAAAAATTCTATCAATTATGTTGAATTAAAAAACGAATTCCGAATAAATAAAAAATATAGACCTATATAATAACTGAAATCAAATTTTAATTTATAAATGTTTGTTTTTCGTTAATAATTTTCTAGGAGTAATATTTAGCAAAGGTTTATTTATAACCAGATAGATTATTTTTTGGGATAACATCTAATTATTTATCAAAACTATAAATAAAACATTTAATCTGCAGTTGCTGAAATAATTATACGCATTGCACAATTGTCTTATGTTTCCATAATTAATTATTAAATTTAATCAGAATCAAAATTCGCATGATTCCATATCGGTCTCGATGGAATACACCTGTGACATTTATTAATGACAATAGAACAATTGATACTCGGTATCCAAAGTGTCCAAAGATGAATGAAATTTCCATTTAAATCGCGGCAATCTAGTTTTTCTGTTCCTAGTAGTATAATCATGAATGAGCGCGCGTTTTATTGTTGCAGCGCGACGTAGACATCACGGGACTCTCGGGAGTGTCACCGATGCGTTCATGCGTGTGTGTACTGCCCGCGGTGTCTCGATCTCTTCGGGATGATCGCGACGCGATAATTGGAGTAGATGCGTTGGCGTATCGCGCAGATTAAGTGACGACCGATTTGGGGGGGAAGGTAGGCGGCCCGCAGGAGGCGCAGGGACCGTCACAGTTTATCGATAAGCTCGCCTCGCCGCGGTCGGAGGGTAGAGTATGCCCTCGCGGACGCCGGTCGTGTCACGATAGGTTACGTCCGCGAGCGGGACAAATGAATCGATTGTCGTAGTGGAAAAAAAGGGGAAGGCAAAGGGATCATGTCGAGAAAGTGGTTGTCGAATTTCGCCCTGGCCGGTACCATCAGGCTGCTGATAATGAACTCCGAGTACCGGAAGATCATCGGCAACCGCGTTGAGGTGTCGACCGCCTTGAACTCCTGGAAGAGAGGTTAGTCCGACCTACCTTGGCTCTCGCTCTCCCAGCTACGGGAGTAACAGCTTCGTCGCGGTCCACGATGTTCTCGGCTTTCACTCTCGAACGCTAAAATTAACTCGAGCTGCTCACGATTTATTTCTACGATTTAAGTCTTTTTATCTAAATAATGTAAGCGAGGTAAAGAAATCAGACGTTAAGGGCTGCGTTAGATAGGATAAAAAGATTGAGAAAAGATATGTGTTCGTTAATGGTATGTTAGTTTCTGGATTTTACTTAGTCTTTAACAAACGGATAAATGTGCATGATTAAGTTTAAATTAAGAGATAAATAGATAGGTAATAGATTCTTTTTTATTCTACTTAAGTATCTATATCTTTGTGTGTAAAAATTAATGAAGGGAAAGTTAAATTGAATAATTTAATCGTTTATAAATTGCGTGATAAAAATGCGAAATTAATATATCCCTAATTAATCAAAATGATACTTAACATTAGAGCCATAAAAGGAATTAAAATGACTTTGCGCGAATGAATTTTTCTTTTAAATTATAACAGTAAAATTTACAACAGTACTTTCTCTGAGATTTTTCGTGACTTTTATCACAGAAATGATTTTTATTAAAGTCATTTTGATTCCTTCTAATGTTAAGCACCATTTTGATTAATTAGAAACAAGTCGCTTTCACAGTCACGTTTAACACATTCCTGATTTTTCAGTTACCGAAGGGGTTTATCTGCACAAGTTTGGAGTAGACCCGTACGAGGGAGATCTGTTTCACGAGACTCCGATCGGCTTGTATGTGTTCAGCCTGATGCAGGAGTACTTACCTCAGTGGGCATTATTTCTACTGTTTGTTGTCGTCGATCTAATGACTGCCCTGTGCCTCGCTCTTGCAGCAAAACATTATGCGATTGAATTGGTCAGTACAATATTAAAATTTAATCCTGTTGCTCTGTTTCAATTTTATTATACTATCATATTGTTTCAGTCAATACGATCAAAAAAACTTTGAAAAAAATAACAAAATTTTACAGAAAAAAGATCTTATATCACAGACAAAAGTCTTCAAATATTAGAGAAAAGTTTAAAAAAAAAATATTAGTAAGAAAATAAATACCTTTTAGATTTAATATATCCGAATAGCAGGATTAAACTTGCCTATCTTGAAATCTTCGTGATAAAAGTACGTGATATTTATTTTCGTTTTAAATTACAGGCAACGAAAAGAAAAGAGGACAAGGACGAGAATAAGAAGCCTAGTAAAGACACGCCCGGCACGTCCGCTATGTACGTTTCCGCAGCGTATCTGTTCAATCCGTATATAATATTGAACTGCGTCGGTCTGACAACTACGGTGTTCACCAATCTGCTCTATTCGATCGCGCTGATGTCGATGACGAGACGCTCCGTGCTCTGGAGTTGCACGTCGATAGCGTTACTAACGTTGCAGGGACTCTATCCTGTGTCGCTCATGGTGCCGGCAACCATTTACGTCGCGAGCACAGCGAAGAACAGGAGGACCAGTATCGTCACGATGCTGGTCGTGTTCACGAGCATCCTGGCGGCCGTATTCGCCGTTTCTTACTGCATCATGGGAAGCTGGTCGTTCCTGTGGAGCACCATCGGCTTCATCCTGACCGTTCCCGACCTACGTCCGAATATCGGACTGTACTGGTACTTCTTCACGGAGATGTTCGAGCACTTCAGATGGCTCTTCATCGCGTCCTTTCAGATAAACGTCAGTTTACTGTACATAGTCCCCCTGGCGCTGCGATTGCGACGCGACCCGATGCTGCTGGCGTTCTCCTACCTAGCGATAGCTGCCATATTCAAATCCTACCCGTGCATCGGAGACGTCGGCTTCTATATATCTCTACTGCCGCTGTGGAAACACCTGTTCCAACGTTAGTCGAACTCTCGATATTTTTGTTTTCATCATACGTACAATTCAGAGCGATGCGACTTGACACCAACACATTCCTTGGTCTTTTTTTTCTAGATATGCAACAAGGATTCATCGTAGGTTGTTTTGTACTGTTTTGCACGGTCTTCGCCCCGACCGTGTGGCATCAGTGGATCTACTCCAGATCGGCGAACGCGAATTTCTACTTCGGGGTAACACTGGCGTTCGCCATCGCGCAAATCTTCCTCCTTACGGACATTCTGTTCGCCAGTGTGAAACACGAATTCGCAGTTCAACACGGTATCAATAAAAAAGTTAACGGAAATGAGGCTAAGCTGCTGCTCGAATAAAATAGGCTTTTTTTAGAGCGAAATGTACAATACCCTGTCGAACAGGTAACATGTCTTTGAGTCATTTGCCACGTGAAAATAAATAGTTTTTTACAAGTTTCTGTCTGTTTATTAATACATCTGTACATTTGTTTAAAATATTTACAATATTCATAGTATGAACTTATCTTCAACATACATACTAAAAGAATTTAATAAATTATAGTTAAAATTCTAAACGTAGTCATGATAAAAAAAGATCAAGAATATTTTATATAAAAAATAATTTTTAGTTTAACCTGTGCGAAGAGCTATCTAAAAAATCTTATTTAAAACCCACTATTATTAAACGTATTCATGATAAAAAATGATCAAGAATATTTTACAAAAAATATACTTTTAGTTTAATTAGTGCAAAACTACATAAAAAATTTTAAGTAAAACCTATTATTATTATTAGTTCATTGGTATTATTATTGATATAACAATTCTTTAATTACAGATAAATTGCATCATATACTGTAATATGATTGTATATTACGTGTAGCATTGCTATCTTGCAGTTCTACAATTGTAAAATTATTTTGTTAAATTGTATTGTGCTCATATCACATATCATCCCCGAAAATATTTATCTTAAAAAATATTTTTTTTATTATACAACTGATTTATAAAACAAATATCATCGGAGTGATAATAAGTTGTATAGTCAACTCTCTTTCACTTAATATTTAATAATATTGATACTTTCCTTGAATAATTTTACAATCATGCTTAACTACATATCCCGCATTTAATACTGAACACTAATATTTTTATCATCCGGATAAAACAATATTTAACTGCTTCGCTCTTAAATATCGATATTTTCATTTTTCTCATAAAGACAATTGCTTTTATTTCATATTTAATATTGAATCTATTTAATATTGAACTGATATCTTCATTTTCATGTTTACTGAAAAACAATGATGTTTAATACTAAATATTGTCAAGTTTCACGTTTAATACTGATGCCTTCACTTTTTGGTAATTTAAAAAGAATGACACTTATAGCTTTTTTACACTTAATAATATTGATAACTTAAAGAAGTTAAAATCAAAACGTGAATAAAATAAATACATTATACGTTTTGCATTCGAAAAATGCAATTTATGCCCCTACTAAAAATCTATGTCAATTGGTCGTTTTTTTCTTCAAAATCAAAGTTTCCATTTCACATACAAGTGCATAGAACAATGCTCTTGTTTCTCTTTTTTCTTTCCAAACTCCCCATGGTAACGGATAAGTTCTTTGCACTTGATATGTCGCTATCATTAGATTAGCTTCAGAAATAACTTCTAATCTTATTATTAAATCCTCAATCTCTCAATGGCAACTGTTCAAAGGGAACGTATCCGCCATTCTTTTTACAGTACTCCCAAAGTACTTCCCAATGTTTATTTATGCAGAGTATTCTTGGATTTCCTATTATTATCATAAGTGCTTTTGCACGTGTCAAAGCAACATTAAATCTCTGTAAAAAAGAAAAATATATATATATATAACTTTTACATATAAAATTCAGGATAATGGTTGGAACAATTGATTCATAGTTAGTGGATTCCAAATGTGATCCTGATTGTTTGTAGTTAATGTATAATTTTGAAAAATTGATTGAAGAGTTGAAGATTAAGTTATGAGAAATATGTTATAAAAATATGAATTAGTGAATGTAACTCACAGTAGGAATTCATATATATCATTTACAAATAATGTTATGCACATGCTAATTTATTTACATAAACCAATTTCATTCGAAAGAGAAAGGAGAGTTTAATATACAAGTTATTTATAAGTAACATAAAAGTTTCTACTATAAGTTACATTGGAGTGACATGCTGCTCCGTGTGACAGCGACTGATTTGTAGTTGAAGGATCCGAACTTCAAATCCGACTGTCACTCCATGTATGCCCCGTTTTGCGGGAATTCATATTTTAATAAAATACAACAATCGTTAACACGCACATGATAAATCATGCATTTGATAAATCATGTAATTTTGGTTGTTGAGGCAGAAGAAAAAGACTGTGTAAGAAACTGGTCTTCCAAAGTCTCATATTAGAAAATATCTTGGATTTTCTTCAAATGACTACCAAAGACAATTTTGACTTTACTTGACAATTTTGTTATCAAAACTTATCAATTGTCGCAAGCTGAGAAATACTTAGCTGAAATGAAACGAAAAATCATACCTTTGGATTGGATAAGAAACCAAGATGTTTTACATCATCATGCATCATGATCTTCGATCGTACCGTCGACAATATCATTACATTTCGTTCTTGTCCTTGAAATGTTTCGACGGTTCCCACGGTTATACCTTTCAAATTCATAGTTGCTAAGTAATGTTTAATATCTAACTGTTGTCGTTTGAAAGGCACTATGATTCCGATATCCTCCGTCCTTATGGCGCGTGTGTTAAATTTCGTGTTCATCAGTATATTCACGTATGCCAACACCGCTAATACTTCGGCTGTGTTGTAGACACTGCAAATAGTTATGTTTATGTGAGTTTTCAAATAAATTAGACGCGCGCTTCACGCGCGCTTTGTTTACTTTTTATTCTTAACTTTCTGCTGTACAATTGTCAAAACAGCCGCTCACGAAGTAAACGTAATTTGCTTTTTTTTTAGGTAGAAAACTAATTATATAAAAATTTTATCCTGCTTTAAGACAATTGCAATAAAATTTATATATTTAAATTAATATATTAACCTTTGAGATGGAGATCTTTCTTCTGTGCCTAAAACTTCTTGAAATATCATAGGGAACTTTTTATTGGGCAATTGCAGCCAGTCCAATGCCATTTGCGTATTGACTCCTCCACAGATCTCCAATTCATTGTTATAAAATTGTTCATTTGACACGTACAAAAGGCTTTCGTGGCTTCGATAATTTTTAACTAATTTTGTTATATAGTTCGGATTATATTTTCCATTTTGTTTTTTATATAGATCAGAATCGTTCATTAATTTTTCCAACATGGATCTTCCTATTAAAGTAATAAATTAAACAGTTAAAAAATTGCATACAGATGATATTTAATCTCATTTTGGGATAACTTGCCGAGAAGATGTTCGATTCTTCTGCAATGAATAACAGGTCCCAATTGGTAAGGATCACCTGCGATAACAATTTGTGCTTGAGATTCAGTCGCTTCTGCTTTATTTATTATCGCAAGAGGAATTAATATTTCTGCTACAGTCGCTTGACTTGCTTCGTCAATAATTATGTAAGAAAAACGATAATCCGTGAAATTAATTGCATCGGACAATCTATAATGAACAGTATGAGATATATCACTTAACAATATTATTATGTAATTGTATATTTATATATCTTTAAACAACATTTATATAAAAAATATTTTGCTTAATTATACAGAAAAATAAAATTTTGTACTACATGTCTAAAATCATACAGACATATACAAAAAATATAAAATATATGTCAAATACACACTTTATGGATGTTATTAATGTTGTAATAATAATTTTTTTCCGCAACAGTAAATCTTCTGACAAAGAGGGTGTAGTTTTCTCAAAATTCGCACAAGACCGAATGTCTCCATTTACAGTCGACCTGTTCTTCAACAAAATTCAGTTTACACGTTTATATGTGAGTTTTATCAGATTTTATCAAATTTATATCGCAGCTGAGCGAAACTGATTATTACAACTATATTACATCTGTAAACATTTCAACAAAAGAAAAAACATGAAGGAACAAAAATAAAAGTTTTTACCGTTCTCTAAATCGGGCATACATTCGACATATCAAGTTCGTTGGAATTTGTTTACTCAATCTTTTGGCGATTTCATCAGCTGCTGCATTAGATACTGTGCACACCAGTATATTTTTCGACGGATAATGCCTCACAATCTAATATGAATCACAGGTTAAAAAAAATAGGAAAAATAAAAAAATAAATTCACTTTGCTAAATGTTAGATCTCATAAAAAATTACCTGACATATAGTCTCAACCAATGTCGCGGTCTTTCCGGTACCTGGGGGACCAAAAATTATATAAGGTGCAGGACGTGCTGTATTATTCAATATCTTCTTCACCGCTTGCATTTGTAGTTTATTCTCGTTCATATTAGTATTAACCCATTCGATATCACTATACAATATAAACATACATACATATATATATATATATATGTAGAATCATGATGACAATATTACTTCGAGTGATAAAATATTCGATTTTAAAACTTACAATTCCATATCTATGCAATTTGTCTTCAATTGTGGA